TGTGTTTGTGTATATAAGTAAGTGAGTTAATGAGTGCGTAGGTGGGCGTGCCTGTGTGTGTGTGTGTTTTTTGTTTTGCTCGCGCGAGGGTGTGCATTCATTTTGCGAACCATGCTTTTTGTTTTTCTTCATATTTATAAAATACATATTTTTAGGTCAGCATAACATGCTTTATATATAAAATGCAACTTTAAAAAAATCAAATACTAAAAATTTTTAACCTACTTTAGTCTCGTCCTGTTTACTTTGATTTTGTCAGTTTTGACGTTATGCAATTAAAACTTTTTTTTGAAAGTTGGAAGACCACCAAAATCATAGAACGAAAATTAAAAGCAACCAGAAGCGAATGCCTTGTTAGCTGAGTGGTTTTGAGGATGGCGTCCGCCTCGAGTCCTAGAGGTCCCGTGTTCAAGCCCTGTTGAAGGCTGAGATTTTTTTCACGAGGACTTCTAGCAATTTCCCCTGGTCTCTGGGTAGTAAAATCGGACGCCCATGTGTATTGTGGCGCAGTTTTAAAAATCCACTGGCAGTGAAAATCAACAGAAGTAGCCTAAGGGCGCTGCTCAGGCAAAATTTGGAGTTACAAATCTTCTCAAAGTATTTCAGGATCCTCGCCGGTGCTACTGAATTCGTGCACTGCGCTGACATACTTCGGACTGGGGCTTGAGTTAGAAGTAAAAAGGAGCACTTATAGGTTACTTCCCCTGAGTCATTATGTTGATCCGTTGTATAAACTAAACCTATGGAAATTGATAAACATTAAATGGGTTGAATTTTGTTGTTGTAAGGCGAGCAAAGAAATATGATAAATGTATGGAACACCGCAGATCTCAGCGTATATAAGACAAAGAAGACTGTGTTATTTTGCTCTCACAGAGAGGAGAAGCGAACAGGGAATTGCAGTGGTAGTTCAGAATTGAAACATATCCCGTTCCTAAACGGCGTTGGATTTCAAAATCGTTCGAGTTACAAGCCACTTTTTTCATTGAAAATAATGGAAAGTAAATTAATTTCTGCCAGGTTAAAAAACTAAGATGTTCTCTCTCTCTCTCTCTCTCTCTCTCTCTCTCTCTCTCTCTCTCTCTCTCTCTCTCTCTCTCTCTCTCTCTCTCTCTCTCTCTCTCTCACACACACATATATATATATATTTCGGATTGCAGTACACTGTATTATTTTTGATTGCAAACAGATGATTTAGATCAGTGTGTTTCAACCTTCCTAATGCCGCCACCCTTTAATACTGAAAGGTTGCCTGGCTAGCTGCGACAATTTACCCCCCCCCCCCCCTTTTTCCACCCACAACTACGCACATCACCGATGGTGTCCCCGAAATAATCTAGAATGAGCTCACACCCCTGTGCCCCAGAGCAGTCCATGATGTGGCGACCCCTAAACCATACAATTATTTTTGTTGCTACTTCATAACTTCAGTGATTATGTGTTTTCTGATGTTCTTAGGCGATCCCAATGAAAGAGTCGTTTTACTCAAAAAGGCGTCGCGACCTATAGTTTGAGAACTGCTGGTTTGGATGGTCTAAACGTCGGATCAAGATAATAACAACAGAGCGTACTAACCCATAGATGCTCCGTTCTACTTCTAACTTAAGCCTGAAGGAAGAATCTCGGCGCAGTGCACGAACTCCGTAGCAACAGCGAGGCTCCAGAAATACTTTGGGAAGGTTGTTAACTCCAAATTTTGCCCGGGCAGCGCCATTCGGCTGATGTTTTCGATTTTCAACTGCCAAGGGATTTTATGTGTGCGCACGAATACACATGGGCGTCCGATCTTACTACTCAAAAACCAGGGGAAATCACTAGACACGTCAACAAATCCCAGCTTTCAACGATGAGAGAGTTCAAAAGTGCTTGACTTTATTCTATCTATGATACTGAAAGAATTATGCAGGACGGAACGCAAAGGAAGAAAAAAAAACTGTTAGGCCCATGTGACATCTATAGGCACACAAGGATGATGATGGCAATGATGCTGATAATGATGATGACGATGATAATGTTAAAACTATTATTATTATTTCTTGCTGCTCATTATAACAACTTTGTCTAGAATTTATGTTGCAATTACATATTAAACAAACATAAATAAGTATTTAATTGCACCCCGTTTAATTATTATTGCAAATAAACTACGACCTTTATTTCTGTTTCTTTTAGTTGATGCCTAGTGTCATGTGTAGTCATGTCTATCCACAACCCTCTGTCCCGTGTACTTTCAATCAGTTCTGACACAAATGGTCTTCCATGTCATGAGGTCAGAGTGCCCAACAACTTCTCTTTATGACTCCCTCTGCCTCTTTTCCTTTCCTGCATTCCCACTGTCATGAGATACTCCAATCTCCTCTTTCTCATGACATGTCCAGTGTCTGTAGATTGTCTTTTTCTGATATTGGTATTCATGTCTCTTCGAGAATCAGTTTCTTTTAAGACATCTTCATTACTCTTCTAATCTGCCCAAGGTGGTCTTATCGTGCGTCTATATAACTACATTTCCAGCGCTTCCAAAATATTTGTCCCTAATTAGTAAAATGTCCATGATTCTCTTCCGTATATAAGGATATAATTTATAATGTTCTTGAGAAATCTCTTTCTCACTTCAATTTATATGGAAAAATTGTATAGAGCATTCTTCATTCTGCTATACCCTGTGTTTGTTTGAGATATGTTTTAAATACTTTTTAATGGTTTTACAAGGTAATTTTACTGTCAGCAGTTCTTCAACATTTACTGAACGGCTCAGAGCTCATTTTATTGTCGAAATCTCTACAAAACGGTCTTCTACAAAATCATCTGCAGGTTGAGTAGAGCATGGTGTTGGAATATGAAAGCCACAGACATAAAAAAATACATAAATTAAAAACACAATATACAAACCGTAATCTAATCCCACAGTCCAGCAGAAGTCAAGAAGGGAAGAATTTTAGATTACACACCTATTTCCCCGTGTCTTAGTGCCGCGGTCACTAATTTATTCGCTGTAAATCCGGGAAAAGCCGCGGCAGCGAGAAGATCTGGTGGCCCAAAAAAGAAATGTTCAACAGTCACGCAACAACCAGGCAGCAGAGATACCAGACTGTCTCTGCCAGGAGCGACCGACGAAAAGCAGCAGCGATGCTAATTTGTGTGTGAGTGCTAACGCGCGAAAAAAAATATGGTTCTTTGATGCGCTGACGTTGACTCCAGCGGCGTGGAAAATCTCGGGATAGCAGGTTTGCGATTCTGGGGCGCGTTATGTCAGATCACACCTGTGTGCAGGTTTTGATGTGGGAATGATTGTTTCTCAGTTTGTATACCTTTAGGGGGAATCTTAGCTGTTCACTTGCAGTGTAAAGAATAGACTGTGTATAACAGAGATGATTCGGTCAGACATACTATGATTGGATCACTTTTGTATATCTTTATATATTTGTACACCTGTGTTTTCTCCCTCCTTCCAACTTTTCTTCCTTTCCTCCTTCCTTCCTTCCTTCTTTCTATCCTCCCTTCCTTTCTGCCTGCATGCCTTCCTTACTCCCTTTCATCCTTCTCTCCTCCTCTCCTTCTCTTTCCCCTCCACCTTCTCTCCATTCTTCTTTTTCTTTTTTTTCTTTTTCCTCTTTTTCATCATCATCATCTTCTTCTTCTTGTTCTTCTTGTTCTTCTTGTTCTTCTTGTTCTTCTTCTTCTTCTTCTTCTTCTTCTTCTTCTTCTTCTTCTTCTTCTTCTTCTTCTTCTTCTTCTTCTTCTTCTTCTTCTTCTTCTTCTTCTTTCTCTTCTTCTTCTTTCTCTTCTTCTTCTTCTTCTTCTTCTTCTTCTTCTTCTTCTTCTTCTTCTTCTTCTTCTTCTTCTTCTTCCTCTTCTTCTTCTTCTTCTTCCTCTTCTTCTTCTTCTTCTTCTTCTTCTTCTTCTTCTTCTTCTTCTTCTTTCTTTCTTTCTTCTTCTTCTTCATCTTCTTTTTCTTCTTCTTCTTCTTCTTCTTCTTTTTCTTCTTCTTCTTTCTTCTTCTTCTTCATCTTCTTTTTCTTCTTCTTCTTCTTCTTCTTCTTCTTCTTCTTCTTCTTCGTCTTCTTTCTTCTTCTTCTTCTTCTTCTTCTTCTTTCTTCTTCTTCTTCTTCTTCTTCTTCTTCTTCTTCTTCTTCTTCTTCTTCTTCTTCTTCTTCTTCTTCTTCTTCTTCTTCTTCTTCTTCTTCTTCTTCTTCTTTTTCTTCTTCTTCTTCTTCCTTTTTCGGTCCTTACTTCTATCCCCCCCCCCCCCCCCCCCCACCCACAACTATCGTTTGCACCTCTTTCTCTTCCTACAAAGAATACATGCAACAAAAAATTAGTACAAGGCAACAACAACCAGAACACACATTTTGGACAACATTTCACGTCAGAACCGTTTTGTGGTGCCCCAATTTTAATTCAATGTGGTTTTTCGCTTGAATTGTGTTTGCGAGATTTGTACCTGTTCAGAAACAAAATTCCTTAAACGTCACATGACAGGCAAACAGAAAAATAATCCATTTTCTGAAGTACTAAACAGGGGCGCCCAAAAACAACATGGAGACGAACGATGGAAAGTGACCTAAGTGCGGCATCTTTGACATGGAAAACTGCACTGAAGATTGCACAGGACAGGAAAGCATGGAAAGTCCTCTCTGAAGCCGCATGTGCCACTAGGCATAACGAGAACTGATGATGATGATGATGAAGTACTTTTAGTCTTTGTACGAAATTTCGGCGAAACAAAGCCACCAATTCCAAGATAATGCAGTTCGAGAAGTGGATATACAGAAGCTAAGGTCGGATTGTATGGTTGCAAAATGAAAAGCTAAGTACAACTTCATTACCACGAATTCCAAAGTTCGAAAAAAAGAAGATGTGGTGTAAAATATTTACAGTAGGCTAACAAATGTATTATGAATAAGAAACAACTGAAATATTCCGGCAACTTTAATAGGCATAACTAAACAGTACTATCCATATCTTCACAAGTGCCATCTTGCCAGTGTGCCAACTCCACA